AAGTTATTTTGTGGGTTTAGGTCAATAATACTTCACCATTTTTTAAATTATGACACTAGTTCAATCATTTTTTAAAATTTAATATTTAAACCAATAAAAATTAAGTTAGAAGATTATATGAATTTGCCCCATAAGCAGTGTATAATTGTCTAGTGTTGGGTTGATGTGTGGGCTTCAAGTAATGTTTGTATGTGTGTCAGATGTGGTTTTGTGTGGTTGGATCTTTTTGTATACTCATTTTTATCGCCATGCTCTCAAAGTTGTGTGTTGAAATTGCTCGCCGTTGTAGAACATGTAGAAATTTTAATGTATAAAGAGAAATAGAGAATTGTATAGATATTGATTGTATTATTGATTTGTTGTATGTTATTTTTATTACAATGATTCATGATTCCTATATATAGAAGAGGGTGAGTGTGTAGTAGGTAAGGAGTAGGTGAAGTGGAGGTGGTAGTGGTGTAGTGGGTTAGGTTTAGTGGAGTAGGTGGGATGGCAGTGGTGTAGTGGGTTAGGTTTAGTGGAGTAGGTTTAAGTGGGTGAAGTAGGTGATAGGTTTTAACAGAACACCACCGGAAAAGTCGCATCACCACCATCCACCATCTTTAGGGGAGAGAGAGAGAGGACTAACTCAGATGGGGTCGAAGAGAGAGGGTTTTATAAATAGAGAGAGTTGCTAAGGGGTTAGGGTTTGTAAATTTGCTAAGGCAGTGGGGGTATTTATAGAATCCCAAATTATACAATTAATCATTTCAAAAAAGAGTTAGGGAAGCTACTATCAAAGTAGCTTCGAGACTCTTGTACTGTAACATCTTTGAGAAGTTATTTGGTGGTTTCAGGTCAATACTTCACCCTTTTTTACCTTATTATATTAGTTAAATTATTTTTTAAATTTTAATATTTAAACCAATAAAAATGAAGTTAGGAGATTATATGTATTTTCCCCATAAGCAGTGTATAATTGTCTTAGTGTTGGGTTGATGCATAGGCTTCAAGTAGTGTTTGTATGTGTGTGTCAGATGTGCTTTTGTATGGTTGGGTCTATTTGTATGCTTATTTTTATTGCCATGCTCTCAAAGTTTTATGTGTTGAAATTGCCCCATTTAAGTTATTTACATGCATACCCTGCTTTCCAACTAGTAGAACCTAAGCTTTGGGCTTGTTTGTCATCACCATTGAGGCTCCCCATCAAGGTTAAGGTTTATTTTTTATTTTATTTTATTTTATGTTTTTAAAAAAAATAGAAATTTTAAATTAAAACAGAAAAATTATAGAAAAAAAGGAGGTATAAAAAATAATTAAAAAGAGGAAGAATTTACCTGTAAAATGATAAAAATGCCCTTCCCTTAGTCTCTCTTCTCCTTCCTCTCTGTCATCCCAACCTACTCCATACTAGCAATCCCTCTCACTCTTCATTTTCTCAAATCCCTTCCATACTAGCAATTCCTTCCTCTCTAGCAACGTGCCTCTATTCTCTATTCTCTATTCCCATCTTTCATAGCTACAACAATCTTCTCCTCAATTGAATCCTCCATAAAGCACCAAAAGCCTCCAATTTCATTTTCATAATTTTGAACATAAATAGGGATATAAATAAATCCTTTTGAATTCCATGTTTAGTAACCTATGTACCACCTTACATTTTCTCAAGACCAACCATTCCTACTTCTAAAGTCGGCAACCACAAAATGCAGAAATCATACTATTAGTTTCTGTTATCAGAATCTTACAATTCGCGATTCAATTCATGGTTTGATTTGTAATTTTTGCAAAATCGATACAAATCTATAGGTGAATCTATTTTTAAAGTGAATCTCTAGTGAATTGCACAATTCACAATTTATTCACAATTCAATTCATTTTTTACAATTCATGTAATTCTTGAAACTATCATGTCCGACGTATTTAAATTATTTTTTTCTCCATTTCTTTTGGTACTTAAAAATGACATATTACAATTTTAATAGTGATTGGTATGAAAATAACCAATATATATAATAGTGATTAATAGTGATTAATACGAAAATAACCAATATATATACATGATTTGTTATTTTGGAGATTAGAGAGTTTTTAATAGGATCCAATCAGATTCAGTCAGACGACATGTTTTTAACTTTTTCTTCTCATTTTTTTTTTCCTTAAAAAAAATATAATGTATCTTCTAGAGATGCTTAAGGTTAAAGTAACTTGCGATATGAATTATCTATTGCTATTTTATTGAAATAAATATACTTCAATATTATATGGGTGAGGTTAGTTAAATCTAATGGTTCTACAAGTTTTTTTTTTTTTAAAATTTCAAATTTAGTGTTCTAAATCACCACTCATATATATATATATATATATATATTTCAATTAATTCTTTCTTATTATTGGGTTATTGTTACTTGTAAAAGTATGTGTGCTTATGAAATATTAACATCATTGTTAAGTTATTGTTGCTTGAAAATTAAGAGTTTGTCTTTATTTACTTTCTTTATTAAGAATGGTTGGTAAGCAATATCTAAAAAAAGGACAAAGATAAGATGGTGGTCTTACATTGAGAACTTGTGTTAACTGCTTACTATTAGACCACGTGATTATTGTTTGAAACAACATTTTCATTGATTTTAAGTATAAATATTTTATATTTATAAGATATATTTAACATCTAAATGTATAGATATATTTTTCTAAATAATTTAGAAAAAGTGGCTGAATATTTATGATTCACGATACGATTCAATTCGCGATTCCGTGTAAGGCCATTTCGATTCACGATTCAATTCAGGATTTGATAGCTATAGTTGATCCTTGGGAACACATTTAGAGTCCCCACAAATTCCCATGCTAATGCATTTCTTTAGAAGATCAATAACTAGCTAAGCCATTAAATCTCACCAAGCCAAGCCATTAAAGTAGATACTACATCCATGCATGTATACAAACGTGGCTCCCAAAATTCACTTTAATTAATTAACTATTTTATCACTTAGACAGAAAAATACCAACAATTTGTTGGATTTGCATGCAAAATAGAAAACATTACAGCTCAAACTCAAAGAAGTTTGTGTTGTTTAGAATCTTTAGATACTAATGTGATAGCAACATGGTGGTGATGGTAGAGTTAGTGACATTTATTGTAGCGGTGATGGTGGTTTTGGAGTTGGGATGACTGTTGTTTGATTGGACAATATAGTGATGACATTTGCGTTAATTGTGGCACTTGCCATTCAGTGTTAGCTAATTCTTATAAACAATTTAGCAAAGATGAACACGGCTGCTTTTCCTACTCGTAGGGGGCTAAGGCAGGGCCTCCAAACCATACACGAAATTAGTGGGTTAGGGTTTCCTATTTTTTCAACTTGAATCCAAATATGACACGATCTAATAACATGAATAATTAGTAACTCCATCTAGCGGAATAAAAAAGTATGTAAAATAAGAATTTAAGGGCTAATATTTCCTTTTTCATCTAAGATATGTATTGTTTTTGTTACTTATTTTAGAGTCAATCTAGTAAAAAAAAATATAATTAGTATAGTTTTTTAAAATTAGGGAATTACAATTGAGTTGAAATCAAAATTTTGGGCCCTTTTTTTTTTATTTCTTTTCAACAGTAGAGATTAGTTTCTTGAAATTTAACCCGTGGCAAAATTGTTAATCTTGTAGTTTTAATTAAAAGTGAAAGTTTTTGACATGATAGATTAACACGACACAAATTGAAAATAACAAAACACAATAACATGAAAATAAATAGATTGGGTTAGGGTTAAGTTAATTTTGACACAAACTCGAAATAATATGACATAATGCCCACCCCTAGTTGGGGAACTTTTTAAAATTTGAAGGCGCCAGGTGTCACCTCTCCTAAGGGCTGACCCTGTTCAGAAGGTGTAATTTTGAAATCAGGGTTGTACATTATCAATTAGACAGGGTTTTTGGATCAAACGCTTGCTTGAATATAGGGTTAGGATAAAGATGTGCAAGGTTTTTACACCACATTTTCCCTTTTTTACAGTGTTGGCTTCCCTGTCTGTACGTGCATCAAGTTCCACATCCCTGTTAACCTTTTAAATGTCGAGTTATCCTAGTCTCACCCTGCTATATACCTTAATCCATACTGGGAGACAATAGGTCTTCCGCAAGTGCAAGGGACAGGAAGTGAGAGTTGGAGTGAGAAAGGGCTAAGCATTGAATATTCTTCCTTTAATATTTATATATTTTTACATTTATTATCACTAGTTGTGTGTGTGTGTTTCCCGCTTAGGGGCAGGGGATGTTGAGTATGCTTGGTATAATTGCACCTGGGTGCTCTATGTTTTGTGTGAAAGTGAATCATCCCAAATATCTTAAATAGAAACTCTTATTTGGGAAGATTTTAGCTGTGTAATTTGTTTATGCTGTTCTTGTTTCGAAGGTGTCTTGGATAAACAGCTAGCAATGTATTGGGTTTTGGCATTTACCATAAAATCCCTTTAGTAGACTAATACATGAGCCACACAAACAAGTAGTTTGTTGTTGACAAACACCCACACTAGGATGCCCATGCACACACAAACTGTTGAATGTTGGTTTGGTACAGCAATCATATATGTAATCCTTTATGCTTCACAGTATCAGCATGCCAAGAATCTAAAATGTCCAATACCTATTTGATCCAAATCTGTGTAAATAACAAGTTGCTGTTGCCAAGTGATTGATGTTCTGATTCCTGCTAATTTGGAGTGAAACACGATGTAATGGAGAAAGAAGGTACATGGCAGCACTGATTTGTTGATATTTTGAGGACATAGATGGTTTTAATGTTCATGTGATGTGAGGATGAAGATAAAACTATGTTTCAGTCATTATGATGAAATTTTAGTTTATATATAAGCCATGTTACCATGTATGTCCCATTATTTGGGAAAACAATGTAGTGGGGGGATGTTATCTTAAAAACAGTTATTGTTTGTTCTTGCTAATTTAAAGGATAGAGGTTTGCCAGTCGATGATTTCTGTATCTAATTTTGTTGAAGGTACTATGAATTGGGACCTGAAGATCCCCCATATGCTGCCAAGTTCTATGATTGTTGTGGAGCAGAGGACCCTGAGGCAGCTGGCTGCACTACTAGTTTTCATGCTTCATACGATGATGATTGATGAAGTTAGTACTCTTTGTTGTCACTCATTGTTGATTATGCATTCAAGTATTTAGAAAACTACAATCTCCTTTGGTTTAATACTTAATCGTTTCTTACTCCTTGTAATTGGTAGCATCTGAATTTACTAATTTATAGAGGTCTGTATGTACGATATGTGTGTGTGTGCGCGCGCATATATAGATGTGTGCGTGTATAGTTTATGTGAAGTGAAAATGAAACCATGTGGCATAGATTTGAGTGTAGGTAGATGGGGATTTTCTCATGAGAGGAGACCCCCTCCCCTGATTTCTGGTTGGCAATTATGGTAACTATGTTATTAAATTAAATTAATGAGAGTGGTACGCCATGTTTTACACACCTCCAACTCCCATATACCGTTTACAATGCACAACACAGCAATTGCACATGTAACTTTTAGCAAACATTAAAAAAAAAGTCCGTCCCTGCCTTCCACATGAGGGCAGCCTTTTAATTGGGTCCCCAGTCCCCCACCTCTTTTGTTTTGTCTTTTTCTTGCTTCTGCATCTATATGATCCCACCCACTCACCCACCTCCCCTCCCCTACCCCCCAATGCATGCATGTGCATCCCAATGTTTTCTTACATTTTTATTTTTATTTTTATTTTTCAAAATGTTGTTTCCTTCCTTTTTAAGTGGGAATTTGGACTTTGCTTTTGTCATTTTTTTTTGGTTTGGATATTTCACCTCTTAGCCTTGGGAGTCTGAACCATCCTTTTCTATTACCCTGGTGACATTTGTGAATCCATATGGATTGTTGCAAGTAAGCCTAGACATGCTATATTATCACCCACCAAGTTGATTTGTCTACTTTTTTTTTTTTCCCCTTAAAATCATGTGGTGTTTCAAGGATGATATTCTCTATCTTTTCAATTGTGGAAGCTTTATTGTTTTTGTACGTGGAAAGTAGAAGCATGCCATGTGGGCTTCATTTTACCTAGGGCTAGCAGCGTAATATACCTCATCTTAGACGAAAAATGTTATAATCACTTGCATTGATCACAAAATTGGTCATCGAGAGTTCACATGTTTTGTGGGATTTATGAGATGTCAGTGGTGGGGCATGATTTTGTGATCGATTCCGGTGATAATAACACAACTCCATCTTTAAAAACACATTGATCTCACTAAAAAAAAACTGCCCATCTCCTGCTAGTAATTGTTCATTGGGTCCTCCTGTAGACAGCCAGCTAAGCTCACATGTATTTCTCTTAATCGTATTGTAATAATAGTATGGAGTCAATTAAAACAAGGAAAATGCGTAGCCTTCTCCCTCTTTCTTATTATTTTATTTTATTTTTATAACCAGGAACTACATCTTAGTAGTGTCTAACACGATCTTTTGCGCCTCAAAATATTATATTTATAGAAAATGAGTTGGACCCCTTAAGGAGGTACCCCTTTGATCCCTTTTTTCTTTGATTGGCTAGTTTTTTTTTTCTTTTTCTTTTTTTCCTTCTCCTCCAATTACTACCCGCCACGTGTGTGTGGGGTAGTGAGGGTGGTGATTAGAGTGGGTCTCAGTCACTTCCCTATATTTATAACTAAGTAGTAATTATTATTTTAAAGTATAGCAGTTAAAATCAGGTGTCAATTCTCAAAAACTAATCGGGTTGTTTTGATATAAAAATAATAATTAAAGTAATTTAAAGAGTTTGGTTTTGAAAATAATAAAACATAAAATTAATAAAATAAAATAAGAAATTTCTCAATATTTTGAATCCACTACTAACTTTATAATCAGGGTTATTGTATTAGTTTTAAAAAAAATCATTAATTTGGATAATATGGTGTAAGTTGATTACAAACACATCGTCAAGAAGATTTATATGTTAAAACTAGAAAGTCACAAATTATCTTTACTTAGCATGGACCGTCACCATTAAACTAAACTAAACTAAATTGAGATATGATCCGTCTTACTAGGTATGACTCGTCTAACAATTTTAATACACAATAATAAAAATAATTGTATAACATGATTTGAATAAAACATTTATTACACAAAAATATTTGAAAATTATGTAATTTATCCAAATCAAATCAAAACTAAAAGTACTAAATACAATTCATCCCAATTACTTGGTTAGGATTAGGGCTGCAAACGAACCGACCTGTTCATGAACAAGCTCGAGTTCGGCTCGTTAAGGCTCGTTCGAACTCGACTCGATTAATAAACGAGCCAAGCTCGAGCTTAAATTTCAAGCTCTCAAGCTCGATTAATAAACGAGCTGAGCTCGAGCTTACTATTGCTCGACTCGAATAGGCTCGCGAGCTCAAAAATATAAATATTAATTTATATTTTTATATTTTAAATATATATATTATATTATATATATATATATTATACATATCAAAAACTTTGAATTTTTTATTTTTTATTTTTATAATATTTTATGTTTTATATATTTATATATATATTATATTGTATGTTTAATATATTTTATGTTCAATATATTTATATATTATATTGTCCTCAGAATTTGGCTGCCACTACCGTTGCCAACAGCTCCATTTATAAGCAGTGAACCTTAGCATGCTTCTTCCATTGAGCGATGTGGGACTTTTGGTGCACTTGACAAAACGACGCTGTTTGATAAGTAATGTTTCACACAATTGGGAGTCCCACATCGTTTACATATGTATTTCAAAGACAAACAAATCTCTATTTAAGTGTAATAGCTGCTAGCCTTTATGGTTTCACTTGGTTAACGAGCCGAGCTCGAGTTACATAAATTTTAGGCAAGTCGAGCTCGAGCTCACATATTTAGGCTCGTTTTGAGCTCGAGCCGAGCTCGAACACCTCTGTAATAAATCGAGCCGAGCTCGAACATCGTGAAACTCAGCTCGACTCGGCTCGATTACAGCCTTAGTTAGGATTTTATCTCCATCGTAAAAAGAAAATATTAGTTCCTAACACTTATATAACTAGCACACTCTAATATATACAAATTAAATTCTCCCCCCTTTCCCTCTCTTTCTTCCCTGGGCTTCCTCCGCCTCCGCCTGCCCGCTCTGCCCCTTTTCTTCCTCTTCTTCTTCTTTTATAGAAGAAAAGCTAAAGAAGAAGAGCTACAATTAAAATAAATAAATAAAACAAACATAGTAATATAAATAATATAATAATAAAATAAAATATTATATATATATATATATATATATAATATTGAGGAGTGGGATGGTTAACCACCACCACCTTGTTTCTTTCCTTCTCTTTTATTTATTTTTTTCTTTTCTTTGTCTTTTCTTTTTTTTTTTTTCCCCTTTCCATCTTCCTCTTTTGTTTGTTTATTTGTTTTGTTTATTTATTTATTTATTTATATTATTTTATTATTTATATAATATAATACAATTTAAAATATCTGAAATATATTATTTATACTAATTTATATATAAACTCTTAAAATATATACAAATATATTATTTATACTAAATTTATACTAATACTAACCGAGGGGGCAATTGGTAATACTACTTTAAACCTTAGGGAGGGGATTGTAATTTCTAAAATGTGAGGGGTGTCAATGTAATTTACCTAGTGAGGGAACAATTGATATTTAAAAAAATTAAATTACTGAGGGGGGAATCTGTAATGAAACTTTAAATCTCAGGAAAAGATATAATTTCTAAAAGATGAAAGGGAAAACTGTAATAAATATAAACCCCACGGAGTGTCAGAGTAATTTACCCTTAATATTATATACATATATCCTCCATGTGGAGGAAGGAAGTTAGAAGCCCATCCCCAAACCCTAAGTAAGTCATAATGCTTCTTCCAAATGGTTGTAAGTCTCACCTACAATTTGTTTGATAGTGTTTTGGGAGGGGAGATTAATAATCTCACGGGCTTAGTAATCCCCTCAGTAGGGGATTAGTTTGGCTGTATTTTGAATGAGATTAAAAAAATAATGAGCAGATTGAGTTTATTTTATATAAAAAAATTATTTTTACCAAGTGCACCGGTTTGTTCTAATATTTGTTTTAGTTTTTTTTAATATAGAAATAATTCTTTTTATTTATTTTATATAAAAATAATTTAACAATCTCATAATTAATCATCTCTTACACTATCATCATAACAAACACACTTTCACTTAATCCCATCACTAACAATTTCTACATTAACAAACTCTTTACCAACCATCGTCTCTATAATAATCTCATCCTACCTAATCCGTCAAATAAATGTGGCTTTAGTGTGATCAGTTTGAAACAGACCAACAGAGAGTGATCTTATGAGAGAGAAAATTAAAAAAATAATAAAAATAAAATGGTAAAGGAGAGAGAATTAAGAAGAAAAAAATTTAAAAAAATAGCTAAACAAAAAGAGGAGGATGATGGTTAAACAACAGTATTACATTCACACAATTTCTTTTCCTCAAAATTTCTTGAATGAAGTGGTAAGACAGAATGCATATAAAGAAAGTTTTGAGAAAATATTAAAGTGTGGGTCAACTTTCAACTTTTGCTTGCAACGTCATTGGAGGGTTTGGAGGAAGGAAATTGCGTAAATGAATAATTTTTCATGGTTAAAAACTAACAATCGTGAGCCTAATGAGTCGGGATTAGCTATAATTTTTTTGACATCACGGATTTGCTATAATTAAATATCTTAATTTTATGGTAAAGTTGATTCGTTATTAAACTAACATGGATTCATTTTGGTAATCCAAACCATTTTATCTTATAACTAACAAATAAAATTATTCACACAAAAAAATTAAGTTGATCTAACAATGATTGTCATACTATTAGATCGTTTTTATATATGTGGCCTATATAATTTTAAGAATAGACCATTCATATATTATAATATATATGTGATTTGATCAAATGATTATTTATATTTAATCAATTTAATTTTTTATATCCATATATATATTTTTTAATTTATCATATGAGATCAATTGTTCAAATCATTAATGTGAATGTAAATTAATCTCCTAATACATTAATTTTACTTAAGAAATTGAAATTTTTAACTTTGATAAATCCAAACTCTCGTAATGGTATTGGGTATCTTTGGATGCCCCCCAACCAACCAAAACCAACTAACTAATTGGCATCACTCACGTATATACAAAACAAAACAATTATAGTAACTCTAATCTCTCTCTCTCTCTCTCTCTCTCTCTCTCTCACACACATCGAGGTTTTATCTATAATTTTTTTTTTCTCCAACCAACCTGCTTGATGATATGATAGATATCCATATTGTTCCCTTGTTAGGGGTGTGACTAGTTGGGTCTGGTTGGGGTTTGTGAGAAAATTTACTACGAATTTTTTTATTTTGTTAATTGAGAAACTGTAATCAATCACATGTTAATATAATTTAGTTT